GAAACTGATTTGCAGTGAGGACTGAACTAGCCTCTCCCAGCTCTATGCACATGCTTCCCTGCCTCCACAACCTGCAGTAGCACCCCCAGAATGACGTGTCTGGAACTAACTCTTAGAATAAGTGCGTCCTTTCTTTCACCTTCTGCCTGCACTGGGAGAGACTGGCAGCTCCAGGGCCTGGTGTCCTAAAAAGGAAACAAAACATGGGTGTTCCCCATCCTCGAGTACTGTAACGAAAGGAAGTGCCTCTTCCTCTTCCCCTAAGTTCTGCCACCTACTTCTCCCTGCTGTCTCCTTCCCTATCCTGCCAGGAAACACATCTCCATCAGGCCTGAGCTTTTCTTCTGGCTGGATTCTCAGCCCTTGGCACTCACTGAGCCAGCACTTGCATGCTGAAGGGCTAGAGGGGTTCCTTTGATCCAGGATGGCAGGCCTCTGCTCTGATATTAATTAATGAAAAGTGAAACAAAAAATGAGGATGTTGTAAAATCACTAGATTTCTAAATATAATGATAACTATGAAAATTTCCTGTGCGTGTCAGATATGCATGGAGTCTGTAAATTAATCCATTTCTATAATTATCTTTGTGATTTTCTGCCTATTAATCAGCACAATTTGAAAGTCAGTTTTAGTACCAGTAGTTTACTTACAGCTTTTGCTAAAACAATACAGTAAAATGAACAGTAAAAGTGATATATAATAAAATAACATTTAGATCATTTAGAATTTTTGCTAAAAACGTAAAATAAGTTAATCCATTATACCAGTTTACACAATATTAAAACAGAACATAGCACATGATGGTATAAAAAGATAAAATGAAGAAGTAGACAGTGAAACAAGTCAGAGGAATTCTATATGATTTTGGTCCTTATTCTTTTTGCAAGTCATGCAAACACACATAAGGAATATATGATGAGCTCTGAATTCTTAGCAAGGAATCAGCTTGTTTTTCCCTCGTTACCCCAGTATTTAGTTTCTCATGAATAAAGCAATCCATTTGCCTCAAAGAACAAACAAGACCACAAATAGTGATTTAAGTCATCCATCTTTCTTCCCACAAGAACATATTCTTTCTTTATATGGCATCTAAGACTGCCTGCCCATGCTGGTAGACAAGTGCAGGTCTCAGTGGAGTGAATCTCAGTCTAGTAATGACTTCTTGTTGTTTATAGTTTTGTACCACAAACAGGTAGGTTTCTAGGCCAAAGGAGTGCTTCATTCATCTTAAAAAAGGGAATATGAGAAAGTCTTACTGACAGAATATCTGTATGCATGCTGGTATCTTTAATTCTTAAATGTATGTCTTGTTTTAAATATAAGTGAAAAACTGCATCAGTGCCTCTCATTACATTTCCCAGGCCACTTATCTGGAGAAGAATATAGATGTTTTTTAACCATGCAGATGAAGGAAATCAGTTAATTACTGGAAACAATAAATCATCCCATTGCTTACTTGCAACTAATTCCAAACAAGGAATAAAGCCGAGTCTCAGTTCTTTGTGTGCAGCCTCATCAAGCAAACTGACACTCCCAAGTGGCACAAGAGAGTGGGTGATCTACAGAGATGCAAATCCTAATCTCCACAGAAGATTCTTGGGAGTGGCTTTGGAACTGCACATACTCCATCCTGCTCTGGGCTGAGAATTAAATGCATCTCAGCAACAAGGGAAAAGCTCCTCATTATCCCAAGTACTACTACAGGACTGGTGCTGAATTTACCAAACAGCAAAGTTCTAAGCATATGCAAGGAAGCCTGGAGCTGGGAGAGGAGGGGGTCTCAGGACCCCAATAAAGATTGCCATAGATTGGAACATGAAGAATGGGTTGGTACCACTTCCCTGACTCTAACAGGGGATTCTGCTCCATCGTCTTTGCTGAAAGTAGCACCTAGCATAGGATTGAAAAGCACCTTTGGAAATCTTGGCCTGTTGTGCCAAATAGTCTGCAGAAGGAACTGCTGAGGAATTTGCCCCTAATCCTATAAACTCTCCAGCCCCAGGCAAGCTTATATTGTTAGCCACCAATATCAACACATTTAGAGTGTCTCAGCCACTGAATACCAAGGGCTAAACTACTGAGCAGATATTTCCCCCTGCACCGTACAACTGTGGACTTCCTTGCAGTCCAAGGTGGAGGTTTTGTTGAAGTGTCTTGTTCAAATATTAATATCACGTCACAGATTTGATACAGTATGCTAGAAACCATGCTAATGAGCTACATCTCCAAGGGCATCCCTACTCCATGCCCTTTTTGCAGGATCTGACTGGTTCAGGGGTTGGGATGACCAGGCAGTGGCTGGAGTGAAAAGTCTTAGTAACTGGTGCCAGAGATATAACTATCAAGTTTGGTGCCCTGGGCAAAATTTCCCAGGGCAGGGAGATGGGGATCCTGAGGGATGAGGTGGGTCTTACTTGACCCAAGGACTCAAAACCCCTGCTGCTCCTGCTGAGTCCCCGCACCTAGCTTCTATTGCTGAGTGGCACAGGGCTGTTTGTGCTCTGTGCACGCACTCCACTCCTGCAGCTGGGTAGCAAGGACTGTTCTAGCTCGGCTTTTACAGCTGGGCAGTGCAGGGCTGCTTCTGATACAGCACAGACTCTGCCTTCACCTGTAAGTCTGCACCTGGGGCAGGTACTCCTCTCATCCCCCTCCCCTCCCCCCACTCATGTTACTGATTGCTGCGGGGAATTCTGGAATAACAAACTTAACTAAACCTTTGGCCCCATGAATTTTATGCTTGGCTGTCTTAAGCTGTTTCCTGAATCTCCAGTGCCACCCCCTTTTCTGCCATATGAGCTACTCTCAACACTTTGGATGGAAATTGTTGGTTCCTGATTGCCAGGAACATCTGATAACAGTGGGTCAGTACAGACCCTGACTCCCTGCTGGAAAGAACCGTGCTCTTGTGGAAAACAATGGCTTTCCTTTTGGTAGGGAAAGTAGCTCTTAGCTCTGAGTTCAATGCTCTCACTGTGACACCCAAATCCTCAGTTTTGCTAACAGTACAGAAATCAGACATAAAGTTGACAAAAGAGAAACCTAAGTGTTCTGACTGCACAGTTGCTCCGGAGCTGCCGAAACAGAGAAACATGGTTTCATGACAGTGTCAAAATAATAAAACACCTGTGCTGACAAATCACAAAACTGTGTGAAAAAGTGAGCAGCTCGCCCAACAAGGCAGATGCTCAGTGCAACCCACCTAATCCTTAACCACAACAAGATACAACAAATACAATATCAGCTCGTTAGCACAAAGCATGCAAGATCTATTAACCACAGGTAAGATAGCCGCTTAGCCAATCACAGTAAGGGTTAATCCAAATTTGGTTCTAAATTCTGCTTGAATGCAAATAAATTTGAGGGAAAATTTGAGCAATATGTGCAGATCTTTGGGTTCCCATAGAAGCATGCTACTGGGGGAACAGATGACTCAAGAAGCTTTGCGGGTGCTGCAGAACTGACAGCTCAGCTGATCTGCTCCAAGCATCATCTTTAGAAATTGCGCATAAGAAGGAACAAGGCTTGAACATGCTATATTAGATTTTGTGAGTATACTCTAAGTTATTCTTTCTCTCTTAAATAAAACAAAGCTTGCCTTAGAGATCTGCGCATCTACTTTAAGTAACTCATCCACTCGACCCATTACGGGTACAACACTCACACACAATGCAGTTTGCTGGGTGAAGAATAGGCAATAAAACCTTTAAGACCACAGTTGCCTACATCAGCTCCATACGCATACTGTGGCACTTGGCTTCTTTAGTGGTGAGCTTCAGCCTGCTTACATACCTTCCCCACTGCACTTGGGACTGAAAGTTGTTGTAAATCCAGATAACAAGGTCCCACAAAGTACTAGCCCTTGCTTCTTGGCAACTTTGCCTCATGTTCAAAACACCGAAGCAAACCAAGGAACAACTGACTGACTCAAAACAGCAATCCAGTCTCACCCCTTCGTGGAAGCACAGCAGCAGGCTTGTTCTCACCAAAGGCCCAGGTATGGGGTTGATCCCTACAAGGCAGGCTGAGGGTTAAATCACACAGGCTTTTTGAGACCAAGCAAGGAATGAACCCCAAAGCAGAGGCAATTTATGGTGAGACTCTTTTAACCCAAAGGCTCCAGCATAAGCACTTTAGATCCTTAGTATCACACAGGGAGACTGGCTGGGCCACAGCCACTTACGGCTTTCTGAGCTAAACCTGGGACTCCCAAGACAGCGCACTTTGATACGGAGTGTGGGATTCATGCTGTCTGCCTTAACAGGCAGTTCATGTTGCACAGAGAACAGTAATTAAAGAGGGAGAGGAGGATCACATAGTAATAAGGAAACTAGCCAGAGTCATAAAGATATGAGTCAGTACCTTGCTCTGCCACTGACTCTCCATGTGACCTTGGGCAGGTCATTTAATCTGTCTGAGCTTTAGTTTCACATCCACACAATGGGGACAACAAACCTGCCCTGCCCCCAAGCATGCTGTAGTCTCACATAACATTAGACTGAAAACTCTGGAGGCCATTGGTCAATGCGTGTCAAACAGCCTCAGCAGAAGGCTGGCATGTCTGAACCTGCTTTGGCTAATTGTGGCAGGAAGTCCTAATCCTCCCACTGATTTCTGTCCTGGCTTGTAAGCATGCACCCATACAGGCTGATTGGGAGACAGCTTGATTGCCTCCAGCTGAAGGGCAGGGCAGAGTGATTATGAGGGCAGGAGGAAAGGCAGAGAAACAACACAACACTCCATGAAGACTCAGTCAGCAAGCTGTGGGGAGCACCAACAGCCCTGGCTATCTGCTGAGCATCCTAGAGACAGATCTCTTACGGCCAGATGCAGAAGGAGCTCTCAGGGCCTGTCTCTGTGAAGCTGCTAGATGCCCAGGTCAGGTTGTGTTCCGGGCACACAGAGGAAGCAGAGGGGCTCTAGAGGCAGCTTTGTATGGCGTAGCTTGGAGGTCAGCACAGAACTGGCTGCTAAGAGAACATACAGGAAAAGGTCTTACCTTGGAAGAACAGAGCAGCTGAACACTGGGAGCTTGGTCCACTGGGGACTCTTCAACAGGACAGCCTCCAAGGTGTCCCTGGGAATGAAGTCTGCTTTCTCTCTGCTCAGAATGCTCTCCCGGCAAGAAGTGAGCAGGAGAGAGAGCTGGGAGGGGGAAGGGACAGTGGATTCACAGGTGTTTGCATCACTTTCCTTTTAGTACTTGCAACATCTTCAAGACATGCATTCTTGAAGCCCCACCCAAATCAGATTCCAGGGATTACATGTAATGAATCCGGGAATTTGGCAATAATTCCTACAACTGTTTAGTCCTTCCAGCAATTGTTAAGGAATGCAGAAACTGCTGCGGAGCCAAGCGTCGTGTGTGTCGTGTCCCCGCCCCGGCAAAGGGGTTGTGCAAAGACAGGGCATAAATAGCATTTTGCAGATTAGACACTGGGTGCGTACTGTAGTTGTTGTTTGTATTTACTAGTTGCACTGCAGTCGCACCTCCGGGAGAGTGCTAAAGGACTAAGTTCTATCAGCAGGGCACTATGCATGTTTGTAACAAAGTCTGACCTGCTCTGGAAAGTCTTAAGTAGTGTACTGTAGAGCCAACCAAGCTGTCATTAACATGTCACAATTATGATCAGTAGCAACAGGGACCAAAGAAGTAACTGGAGCACAGCCACACCCCAAGTACTTGACCCAGTATGGATCTGAGGACAAGTCACTTTGGGCCTCCCCTTTCCCTTCCATAGATTAGGGTGGAGGAGAGTCCCTTGCTGTAAGGGGTAGCAGCAAAAGATGACCCATTGCTGTCTGTAGGAGCCTTTGGGATCCTGCCTACAGAAAAGCAAAGTGTTAGGACTGATCAAGCTTTTGAAGCTGGAATCCTGAGACATGACCAGATTGCTAGTGACTAGCCTGCAGAGGGATTCCTGGTTTCTGTCAGTTACTTTTCTTCACACACTTGTGTCTAGTGTGATTGACATCACTTGTCCCACCCCGTCTCATCGGATCATCCTGCTATAACAGCTGGGCAGCCTGTGAAGCATGCGTGTATCCTAGCTCATAAAGGATCCATTCAGCTGTGCTGAAGTGGGGCTTTTTTCCTTAGTCATGGACATTTTCTGCTCTGGGATCGCATTGCTTACCTCAAGCATGTTTCTCAAAATTCTTGTGAAATGTTGTGGATTACACCATGTTTGAATCACAGGAAAACTGTTCAGCTCTGTCTCAGATGTAACAACAGACCACAAGTTCCTGCAGTTGACTTACTCAGGGTAGGTGCATAGGAACTTTTTACATATTTTGCAGTGAGAACTGTTTCTAAAGGAGAAAAGTGCTCAGGTTTGTGGGACTGCGTGCATGCACATGTGTACACACACACACACACACACACACACACACACACACACACACACACACACACACACACACACACACACACACACACACACACACACACACACACACA